AAAAAAAAAAGATCTGAAGCAAAGTAGTTTTAATTGTTTAACGTCCAAGGAATGATTTCAGATCTCCTTTCTTATTCATGCTATGCTCTCTGGTGATTAACCACATTTCAGTATCATTTCTCTATTAAAAATACACACACACACACACACACACACACACACACATAAGTAAATTGATGTTCTCTTTGAAATATGTTGGAATCGTGTTTAAGGGTACTTTTTCTTCAAATAATTGAAATGCTCTTCAGAGAAAATACACATTTTGACAGCTATTAAAGAAAGTAAAACAATATATTGTCTTGTTTATCATTATTGACTTTTAGGAATACAGCTGGCTTATCTGTATCTTTGTTGATCGTCTATGGGCAATTTGAATGAAATAGAAAATTTGGGATTACTAACATTTTTGGAGTTGGAAAAATTTTGTTTTTCTTGAAACGAGACTTGAAAACAGAGGGATTTCCCAAGATTAACATCAAATCAGAAGTAAAACTACTTTTGCTGGAATAAAATCAAAACACTAACCACAAAAATGCAATAAGTTCTGCAAAGTGTAGATTTCACGACCAGCACGTTTGGACTCAGTTCTCCCACTGGTTGAAAGAGACTGAAGCAAGAGTGGTGTGATGTGAAAACCCACCAATGAGCAGCACGTGTTGGGATAATAAGTGATGTCGCACCTGTCAGTACCTTACAGGGCTGGACACACTGGTGGTGAGTACACCTCACTCTGTCCATGAAGTCACCGATCCTGGGCTTTTGAGGAAGATGCCAAGCAGTGTACACACTTTGTTAAAGCAGTTGTTTGTCCCTCCATGTACCACTTTTGCAGAGTCGGGGGTGAAGAGGTCCCCACAGGGGAAACACAGTATGTGGCCCTGGAATCAAGAAAGAGCTGGCTCTCATGGGAACTCATCTCATCCTCCAATCAGAAGAGCAAAGCTGATGTCAATCAACCAAGAGGTTCTTATTGAAGAACCTCTAAATGCCAGGGCTTTGCGTGGCAGTGCTTTAAAGAGTGGTCTAAACAGAATTCAAATCCTCCACGATAGGGCACAACCATTTAGACTGGCAGTTTTTCATCTTTGAGATTGTTTATCATTTTATTCTCACCTAGAAAGTGCTGACCTACAGGGCTGTGACAGGAGCACATGGACAAAGTGGCAGTGGGGGAGAGCGATTCAGTTTTTTCATTGGCTTTTCTCTATGCAACTGAAGAACCACTCTCTGAAGAATATTAGCACTGTATCCAAACACTAAACGCATATATACATGCATTCACATGGTTATTTTTCGCAGATGAATGATGGTTCTAATTCTACGTGGGTTAAACCAGTGAAATACCTCCTCCAACTTCCTTGTTTTCAGGATGGAATTCTGTAAATCTAGGCTTTAAATTCCCACCTCCTAGTTCAGAGCTCTCTCCCTCAGAAGGTGTGGGAAAGGAGGACAGGACTAGATTTTTTCTGAAGCAGAGAAACCCAAGTGGCATTCTTGAAAAGACTTCTGAGCATCAGTAGACACCTGTTCTGAACAAATTTGAGGCTTAGAATTCTGGGGGTGGCATTCAAGTGAATCCATTCAAAGTGAATTACAACCTCCCAGGAAGAGAGATTGGTGGGAATGAGCAGACAACCGAGAGGAGATGGGGGTTGAATCCAAGCTCCCCTACCTACCAGCAGCATAACCCTCTGCAAGTCACTGTATACATCTCGGCCTCCATTCCTGAATTTGCAAAACGTGAACAAAATCTACACAAATGTACCAACCTTGAGTTGGTTACGAGGCTTAAAGGAATCACTGTATTAACAAGTTTTTAGTAAACTAGTGAGCCCTTCATTTAGGAATATGTAAAGCAGACAATTAGACTAAGTCCATTTTCTTGCCAGGGTCCTAATCTAAATGTGCACATTTAAGGGGACTGGTTTTCTAATAATTAGGGTCACATCCTTCCCTCCAGCTGGGCGCATGATGAGTTCCTCGGGTCACCTGCTCTGGCTCGCCTTCCTCTTAATTTCAAAAGCCCAGCACATTCACTGCACTTTTCAAAACAGAATAATGGTTTCACTGGGGAAGCAACAGATATGGTGAAGTGTCTGCTTTAATGCAAAAGCTTAAAAAACCAAAACGAAACAATAAAAAAAAGTGAGGCAGTGCTCGGGCTGGGCACACCTACACCTCTATAGGCAGCTTTGGTCTGAGCTGCCTCCACTGAGGGTAAGCCTGTATTCTAACTCCCCTTTAAATTAAATTTTAAATTAATTTTTATTGAGATACAATTGACATATACCGTATTCATTTTAGGTGTATAACATAATTAAACAATTTTTCCAATCCCCTTAATTTCTTTTCTTTTTCCCTTGTAGAACATTTGATGCTCTTGTTTTTTTTTTATCTTTATTAAAAGAAAAAATTTTTAACTTTTTATAGTTGATTAACAATGCTGTGATAGTTTCAGGTGCACAGCAAAGTGATTCAGTTACACATATACATGTATCTATTCTTTTTCAAATTCTTCTCGCATTTAGGTTGATACATAATATTGGGCAGAGTTCCCTGTGCTATACAGTAGGTCCTTGTTGGTTATCCATTGTAAATACAGCAGCGTGTACCTGTCAATCCCACCCAATCCTCCTTAATTTCTGATGAGAAAATATGAACATAGGCCGCAGCAGGGGAGAGGGGTGAGGTTCAAAAACCACGGCCTTTGAATCCGACAGAAGGAAGTTCAGAAGCTACACGGGCTAATTCCTGGCCGGCGTGGCCCTGGGACACCCCGCTCCACCTGGCAGAGCCCTGCCTTGCTACATGGCACACGGATGCCTGCTTCACTGGGCTGAGGCCAGGACCCACTGCCATCGCTTGGACAGGCAGCCTGGCTCAAATTAGGGGCGCCCTAGACGTCAGCTTCCCTTCTCCTTACGACCTTAGATTTTAAATTGAAAGCTGCATCCTTCCGGAGCAGCAAAGTGTTTGCAGCAAAGACTGCTGGCCAAATTCAAATTTGTTTTTGGAGAAAAGGAGATTTGGTGCTCCAAGAGCAAGTACCCTCTCTGAACTTCACCCACAAAGAAGCTGGCAGGAGAGCTTCCTGGGACGGGCGCTTCGGTTGGTGCTCACAGCATCGGCGGGGAAGGAAGGGAAGGCCTGCTTCCCCAGGGAGGAGCCTCCTCTCCGTGGGCTGGTTGGCGCTGCCGGCCACATAACCCAGGGCTGACATCAGCGCCCGGAGAGGAAGCTGCTCCTGCCGGTTCGGGGTCTGAGCGGGTCTCCTCTGAGAGGCACGCTCTGGGGGGCGGGGACAGAGGGGGCCTGGGTGGCTATTCTGTTGTCCCGAAGGCGTTTCCATCTCTAAGGCACATCCTGGGGCACATTCCTTCCAGCGTTCTCTCCAGCAGCCCAGCTCTAACCACGCCCCATCAACCCAGGCACAAGCCATAGGAAAACAAACAAGGCTTTGATTCCTTTGTGAGAAAATCAAAAAGCTGCTGAAACCCAAAGGAGAGAGAGGGAGAGAGAGGGAGAAGGAAGGAGAGACAGAGAGACAACACTTGCTACCACACACTGTTTACTACTTTCGTCAAACGGACCCCATCAGAAAGAGAAATTGGGGTTTTGCTTTATGAACTGCCTGGAAATGTTTGGTAGCTCTTCTGGCTGCTGCTGCCCAGTCAATGAGGTCTCTGAAATTAGCCTTTCAGAGTCAATCTTCTGAAGTTAAAAAAAAAAAAAAAATCCCTTAACACTCTCGCCCTGGAAAAAAAAAGATGGCTTGCCAAACTCGATTTTCCCTTGGCCAAAGTAACCACTAGCAATTCAGCCCTCCAACAAGGTTGTAAAGAAAGTATTTCCCCTTGACTTTGGAGAAAATACCTTTCATGTGACCTCCAAATATGTTACTTAGTTTAAAGGTACACAAACCAACTTGTCCGTTTGATTTTTTTTTTTTTTTTTGCTTACTCCCTAACAGTGCTACTTACCGAATTCTGTGATGAGAAGCCGGCAAGGCGGTTACCCTCTAGGGAGAAGGGGGACAAGGCGGGGATCCCAGGGGGCTCTGGATGCTGTCACGCTCTGCTGAGCCGGGGCTAGTTCCCTGTGGAAACTCACCCAGCTGCACACTGTGGGCTCTGCCCTCTCCTGAGGGTAAAAAGGGCACTTCCCAACCAAAGCAGCGCAAACTCCCCGCGTCTCAGAAGACAGCAAAAAACGCCTTTTCCTTGCACACAACCTGCAGAGACGCACCTTCAGGAGACCCTCAACAGTCGTGTCACACACACAGCACAAAATCAGGTGGGCAAACGGACCCTCAGAAGGCAAGCTCCATCCCTGAACAGACCCATCTGCTGCTCCATCGGTCGCCCCCCACCCCAAACATGTCCAAGCCTGGCGCATAGCAGCCAAGTCAGGTATAATGTGAAGTCTCCTTCAAGAAGCTGTGTTTCCAGTTCAAATCAGCCCAGGGGCTGCAGTGTGTTGCTGTTTTGAACTCCAGAGAAAACTCCATCCAAGAGAACTAACACAGGATGCGCTGTCCTGCCAGGCTACAGATATATACATTTTTTTTGTTGTTGTTGTTGTTGTAGTTTTATTGACATATAGTCGATTTACAATGTCATGTTAGTTTCAGGTGTCTACCAAAGTGATTCAGATATACAGATATATATATATTTTTTTCTTTTTCAGCCTCCTTTCCCATATAGGTTATTATGAAATATTAAATATAGTTTCCTGTGCTATACAGTAAGTTCTTGTTGGTTATCTATTTTATATAGAGCACTGTGCATCTGTTAATCCCAACCTCCTAATCTATCCCTACCCCCCTTTCCCTTTGGTAACCGTAAGTTTGTTTTCTATGTCTGTGAGTCTCTTCCTGTTTTGTAAATAAGTTCATCTGGGTCTTTTTACTGATCTGAAGAATTGTAATGAGGATTAGCGATTATATATATATATATATATATATATATATATATATATATTAAGGCAAGGTGGGTACTCACCTATTTGGTCTTCGGGGATCAGCGACTCGATGGGGGGGTCCAGCTCCGAGCTCTGGGACAAGTAGTTCTTCACCTGGGTCATGAACTGCCGGACGGTCTGCAACAGGTCCGTGCTGGACACGTGGCACTCCTTGTTCTCCTGCAGGAAGCTCACGTAGTCCTGCACCAGGCAGCCGAAGTAGGTGCGCTTGTCGCGGGCCAGCTCGGCGATCCTGCGCACCATGCGCTTCTCGGGGGTCAGGAAGGAGCTGAACACCCCGCTCATCTTGCGGAGCTGGGACTTGACGAGCTTGGGCAGCACGAAGGAGCTGTTCCTCTTCTTGGACTTGATGGGGGGGGCCATGGTCTCCTGGTCGCTCTCCACGTCGTAGTCCTCCAGGCTGCTGTTGGTGTCCGCCTCGTAGCCAAACAGGGGCATGCTGCGGTCCAGGTCCAGCGAGTCGGAGGAGGAAGTGGAAATGCTCATGTCACTCAGCCTCTGTCGGCCTCCGCGCCACGGCGGCCGGGATGGGGATGCAGGGGCGGCGGCGGGCCGGGCCCTTGTGCAATCCCGCGGGGCCTCCTCCTCCACCGCCTCCGCCGCCGCCGGGGCTCCACCTGCGCCGCCGGCCGGGCCCGCCGCGGGCTCCGGGCGAGGCCGGCCGCCGATCAAGGTCTTGGCCATGTGTTTTGGAGACATAACCAAGGCCCATGGGGCCGCGTCTTCATCCACTTAGGGATCTGCCAGGGGAGGTTTTGTCAGAGAGGAGAGTCCAGGAAGGGCTGAGCTCTGAGATGGTTGTGGCCATTGGACTTGAGGGTTGGGGGGCTGGGGGGGGGGGGCGGGGGCCGGGGTGGGGGGGCCCGAGGCCTCTCCGTGCCATTCGCGTCGGGGGGAGTCCGGGTGCAGGGCCGCTTCGGGCCTCCGCCGAGCTCCTGGCTGTGCACTTTGAAGAACAGAGGATTAATAAAGCACAGGGCTCCGTTGGTCTGGCTGCACTCCAGCTCCGAGGGCGTCCTGGTTTTTATAGAATGCACTCCATTTATAAGGCAGAGCTGACGCGAGGCAGGACCCACACCGTCAGAGGAGAGAGGCCTATGGGGAGGTGGAGGGTTTGAGGGTTTGTTGTCAGCTGGAGAGCTCCAAAAATCTGAAAGTCATTATCAGTGAACACAAGAATGTAAATACAGTGCACTCGGCCAGTCCTTCACAAAAAATCACGCTTGCCTGGCAATGCACAGCTTTGGAAGGGGAGGCGCTGCTACACTGGAGTGTGATGGTTTTCTTTCTTTCTTTCTTTCTTTCTTTCTTTCTTTCTTTCTTTCTCTGTCTCTGTCTCTGTCTCTCTGTCTCTGTCTCTGTCTCTCTCTCTCTCTCTCTTTTTGTTTTGTTTTGTTTTGTTTTAACTGCATT